CAGAGTCGCAGTCTAACACACTTCTCTGCCCTTCTAATTCAGCAGTTACCCACCCAAAACCCTACGCAGAGTCGCAGTCTAACACACTTCTCTGCCCTTCTTTTCAGCAGTTACCCACCCAAAACCCTACGCAGAGTCGCAGTCTAACACACTTCTCTGCCCTTCTAATTCAGCAGTTACCCACCCAAAACCCTACGCAGAGTCGCAGTCTAACACACTTCTCTGCCCTTCTTTTCAGCAGTTACCCACCCAAAACCCTACGCAGAGTCGCAGTCTAACACACTTCTCTGCCCTTCTTTTCAGCAGTTACCCACCCAAAACCCTACGCAGAGTCGCAGTTAACACACTTCTCTGCCCTTCTAATTCAGCAGTTACCCACCCAAAACCCTACGCAGAGTCGCAGTCTAACACACTTCTCTGCCTTCTAATTCAGCAGTTACCCACCCAAAACCCTACGCAGAGTCGCAGTCTAACACACTTCTCTGCTCCTCCATTCCAGGAGTTACTTAGTGAAAATCCTATAGTGACGGTGTCTGTCCCCCGATCATCGAAATTATTTAATACAAAATCAATATTAAATCAATACTACATCAATACTACATAAATACTACATTAATTCTACATTAATATTACGTCAATACTGGATCAATATTACATCACTACTGGATAAATATTTCATCAATACTACATAAATACTACATTAATTCTACATCAATATTACATCAATACTACATAAATACTACATTAATTCTACATCAATATTACATAAATACTACATTAATTCTACATCAATATTGCGTCAATACTGGATCAATATTACATCACTACTGGATAAATATTTCATCAATACTACATAATTCTACATCAATATTACGTCAATACTGGATCAATATTACATCACTACTGGATAAATATTTCATCAATACTACATTAATTCTACATCAATATTACGTCAATACTGGATCAATATTACATCACTACTGGATAAATATTTCATCAATACTACATAAATACTACATTAATTCTACATCAATATTACGTCAATACTGGATCAATATTACATCACTACTAGATAAATATTTCATCAATACTACATAAATACTACATTAATTCTACATCAATATTACATCACTACTAGATAAATATTTCATCAATACTACATAAATACTACATTAATTCTACATCAATATTACATCAATACTATAAATACTACATTAATTCTACATCAATATTACGTCAATACTGGATCAATATTACATCACTACTGGATAAATATTTCATCAGTACTACATTAATTCTACATCAATATTACGTCAATACTGGATCAATATTACATCACTACTGGATAAATTTCATCAGTACTACATTAATTCTACATCATATTATGTCAATACTGGATCAATATTACATCACTACTAGGCCGGTACTGATCAGAGTCTTTATTGTTCAGAATCGTGACAGAATAATTATAAGCACATGAAAATCATGTCTGAGTTTATTGGACTCTGGAGCCTCCTGGTGGATGCGTGCAGAATCACAGCGAGGTCATCGGGACACCTTCTTCAAATGCTTTGTGGGAAATGTAGTAAAACTGTAATTGCAGCAGCAGCTGGAGTTTCAGACAAATGAAAGACTTTCAGTAAAGTTTTATATTTTGAGTCCATAACATTGTCTCTGTGTCTCTCTGTGTCTCTCTTTGTCTCTGCCTCTCTGTGTCTCTGTCTCTCTTTGTCTCCCTGTGTCGCCCTTGTCTCTCGCTGTCTGTGTCTCTCTGTTTCTCTGTTTGTCTCTGTGTCTCTCTCTGTATTGATCTTTGTCTTTCTATGTCTCTGTCTCTCTCTGTGTCTCTCTGTCTTTCTCTCTGTTGCTCTTTGTTTCTCTGTTTCTCTGTCTCTCTGTGTCTCTATGTCTCTCTCTGTGTTGCTCTTTGTCTTTCTGTGTCTCTATGTCTCTCTCTGTGTTGCTCTTTGTCTTTCTGTGTCTCTGTCTCTCTCTGTGTTGCTCTTTGTCTTCTGTGTCTCTGTCTCTCTCTGTGTTGCTCTTTGTCTTTCTATGTCTCTGTCTCTCTCTGTGTCTCTCTGTCTTTCTCTCTGTTGCTCTTTGTTTCTCTGTGTCTCTGTCTCTCTGTGTCTCTATGTCTCTCTCTGTGTTGCTCTTTGTCTTTCTGTGTCTCTGTCTCTCTCTGTGTTGCTCTTGTCTTTCTGTGTCTCTGTCTCTCTCTGTGTTGCTCTTTGTCTTTCTGTTGCTCTTTGTCTTTCTGTGTCTCTGTCTCTCTCTGTGTTGCTCTTTGTCTTTCTGTGTCTCTATGTCTCTCTCTGTGTTGCTCTTTGTCTTTCTGTGTCTCTATGTCTCTCTCTGTGTTGCTCTTTGTCTTTCTGTGTCTCTGTCTCTCTCTGTGTTGCTCTTTGTCTTTCTATGTCTCTGTCTCTCTCTGTGTCTCTCTGTCTTTCTCTCTGTTGCTCTTTGTTTCTCTGTGTCTCTGTCTCTCTGTGTCTCTATGTCTCTCTCTGTGTGCTCTTTGTCTTTCTGTGTCTCTGTCTCTCTCTGTGTTGCTCTTTGTCTTTCTGTGTCTCTGTCTCTCTCTGTGTTGCTCTTTGTCTTTCTGTGTCTCTGTCTCTCTCTGTGTTGCTCTTTGTCTTTCTGTCTCTATGTCTCTCTCTGTGTTGCTCTTTGTCTTTCTGTGTCTCTGTCTCTCTCTGTGTTGCTCTTTGTCTTTCTGTGTCTCTCTTTGTCTTTCTGTGTCTCTGTCTCTCTCTGTGTCTCTCTGTCTTTCTCTCTGTTGCTCTTTGTTTCTCTGTGTCTCTGTCTCTCTGTGTCTCTATGTCTCTCTCTGTGTTGCTCTTGTCTTTCTGTGTCTCTGTCTCTCTCTGTGTTGCTCTTTGTCTTTCTGTGTCTCTGTCTCTCTCTGTGTTGCTCTTTGTCTTTCTGTGTCTCTCTTTGTCTTCTGTGTCTCTGTCTCTCTCTGTGTTGCTCTTTGTCTTTCTGTGTCTCTAGTCTCTCTCTGTGTTGCTCTTTGTCTTTCTGTGTCTCTGTCTCTCTCTGTGTTGCTCTTTGTCTTTCTGTGTCTCTCTTTGTCTTTCTGTGTCTCTGTCTCTCTCTGTGTTGCTCTTTGTCTTTCTGTGTCTCTATGTCTCTCTCTGTGTTGCTCTTTGTCTTTCTGTGTCTCTGTCTCTCTCTGTGTTGCTCTTTGTCTTTCTGTGTCTCTCTTTGTGTTGCTCTTTGTCTTTCTGTGTCTCTGTCTCTCTCTGTGTTGCTCTTTGTCTTTCTGTGTCTCTATGTCTCTCTCTGTGTTGCTCTTTGTCTTTCTGTGTCTCTGTCTCTCTCTGTGTTGCTCTTTGTCTTTCTGTGTCTCTCTCTGTGTCTCTCTCTGTGTTGCTCTTTGTCTTTCTGTGTCTCTATGTCTCTCTCTGTGTTGCTCTTTGTCTTTCTGTGTCTCTGTCTCTCTCTGTGTTGCTCTTTGTCTCTCTGTGTCTCTGTCTCTCTCTGTGTTGCTCTTTGTCTCTCTATGTCTCTCTCTGTGTTGCTCTTTGTCTCTCTGTGTCTCTATGTCTCTCTCTGTGTTGCTCTTTGTCTTTCTGTGTCTCTGTCTCTCTCTGTGTTGCTCTTTGTCTTTCTGTGTCTCTGTCTCTCTCTGTGTTGCTCTTTGTCTTTCTGTGTCTCTGTGTCTCTCTCTGTGTTGCTCTTTGTCTTTCTGTGTCTCTGTCTCTCTCTGTGTTGCTCTTTGTCTTTCTGTGTCTCTCTCTGTGTCTCTCTCTGTGTCTCTCTCTGTGTTGCTCTTTGTCTTTCTGTGTCTCTGTCTCTCTCTGTGTTGCTCTTTGTCTTTCTGTGTCTCTGTGTCTCTCTCTGTGTTGCTCTTTGTCTTTCTGTGTCTCTATGTCTCTCTCTGTGTTGCTCTTTGTCTTTCTGTGTCTCTGTCTCTCTCTGTGTTGCTCTTTGTCTCTCTGTGTCTCTGTCTCTCTCTGTGTTGCTCTTTGTCTCTCTGTGTCTCTGTCTCTCTCTGTGTTGCTCTTTGTCTTTCTGTGTCTCTGTCTCTCTCTGTGTTGCTCTTTGTCTTTCTGTGTCTCTCTCTGTGTCTCTCTCTGTGTTGCTCTTTGTCTTTCTGTGTCTCTGTCTCTCTCTGTGTTGCTCTTTGTCTTTCTGTGTCTCTCTCTGTGTCTCTCTCTGTGTGCTCTTTGTCTTTCTGTGTCTCTGTCTCTCTCTGTGTTGCTCTTTGTCTTTCTGTGTCTCTCTCTGTGTCTCTCTCTGTGTTGCTCTTTGTCTTTCTGTGTCTCTGTCTCTCTCTGTGTTGCTCTTTGTCTTTCTGTGTCTCTGTCTCTCTCTGTGTTGCTCTTTGTCTTTCTGTGTCTCTCTCTGTGTCTCTCTCTGTGTTGCTCTTTGTCTTTCTGTGTCTCTGTCTCTCTCTGTGTTGCTCTTTGTCTCTCTGTGTCTCTGTCTCTCTCTGTGTTGCTCTTTGTCTCTCTGTGTCTCTGTCTCTCTCTGTGTTGCTCTTTGTCTTTCTGTGTCTCTGTCTCTCTCTGTGTTGCTCTTTGTCTTTCTGTGTCTCTGTCTCTCTCTGTGTTGCTCTTTGTCTTTCTGTGTCTCTCTCTGTGTCTCTCTCTGTGTTGCTCTTTGTCTTTCTGTGTCTCTATGTCTCTCTCTGTGTTGCTCTTTTTCTTTCTGTGTCTCTGTCTCTCTCTGTGTTGCTCTTTGTCTTTCTGTGTCTCTCTCTGTGTCTCTCTCTGTGTTGCTCTTTGTCTTTCTGTGTCTCTGTCTCTCTCTGTGTTGCTCTTTGTCTTTCTGTGTCTCTATGTCTCTCTCTGTGTTGCTCTTTGTCTTTCTGTGTCTCTGTCTCTCTGTGTGTTGCTCTTTGTCTCTCTGTGTCTCTGTCTCTCTCTGTGTTGCTCTTTGTCTCTCTGTGTCTCTATGTCTCTCTGTGTCTCTCTGTCTCTCTCTGTGTTGCTCTTTGTCTTTCTGTGTCTCTGTCTCTCTCTGTGTTGCTCTTTGTCTTTCTGTGTCTCTGTCTCTCTCTGTGTTGCTCTTTGTCTTTCTGTGTCTCTATGTCTCTCTCTGTGTTGCTCTTTGTCTTTCTGTGTCTCTCTCTGTGTCTCTCTCTGTGTTGCAGCAGGAGGCAGCGGTCCGTCAGTGTTGCTGGTTGGAAGTTGTTCGGTAAAGTTCCTCCTAAACAGAGTCCGTCCAAACAGGCCCGGATCATCCAGCAGGTACCGGCTGAGCTTCCTCTGGGAACTTTATGTTGCACTTCACAATAAAAGACAGACATTGGACAGAAAACACAGATGCAATATAAAAAACTAAATAAAACTAAACCATCACAAGAACCTTTTCCTTTAGAGGAAGTCAGGATCTAAGTTCTAGGCTCGGGCGGTATCAGGATCCACCAGGTATTTAGAAAACCTGACGTCACAGACGCTGCCTTTACTATTAAACTGATACACCATGCTGTATGGCGCCTATGGTGACGTGTACGCCACCAGCGTAGGCGACATCACGTGAAACATGATGTCATCAACAACATGATAACCCGGTCAGCAGCTGGTAAACAGGCCAGGATCAGCCGAGTGAAGAGGACCGCAGAGACCTGGGTCGACTTACCGAGTTGATAACCAGCTTCGTGTGACCGCTTCCCCTGATTGGTAGATTTAGTGAAGCCAGATAACCGAGATTTCGTGGGTATGTTGAGCTGGCTTTGTGGTGCAGGGCCCTGATGGACTGAGGACCGTATCAGTGAGAGTGAAGACAAACGCAGAGACCTGGTGGGATGTCTCTTTCCTCCATCGCTCACCTCCGTCTCCGGCTGTCGCTTGTCATCAGCTGTGCTCACCTTGTTGTCACATGACTGACGTGGGTTTTGTGATGTCATTGCAGGAGTTCGAGGCACGGCAGGTCGCAGCCCGCAGCTCTCCTACCCATAATCCTGCGGCGCAGCAGAGCAAGAGGAAGGTGGAGTTCGAGCCGCTGTCGACCACAGCGCTGATCCTGGAAGACCGGCCGCTGTACGACTACGTCCTGTTTAATCACTTCCTGTCTGTCAGCTGAGTGTCTCTGACAGTTTGTTTGTGTGCAGGAACCTTCCAGCCAAGTCAGCAGAGGAGACCCAGAGACACCGGCAGCAGTATGAGCAGATGGTGGCTGGGGCCAAGAGGAGAGGTCTGTTTGTTTTAACCTGCTGCACCTCCCACACAAGTGGAGCTTAACAACGTGTTTGTAGACACAGTAAACCCCCATGATGCCTCCTGTTTGTCTGTCAGAGCTGAAGGAGGCTCAGAGGAGACATCAGCAGATAAAGGAGAGGCTCAGACAGGAAGAGGGGATCTCCAACGCCTCGCTGGTCTGGATCCAGCACATCCTGCCACACTGGGACGCCATGTATGTGTGTGTGTGTGTGTGTGTGTGTGTGTGTGCGTGTGCGTGTGTGTGTTATACTAGCGCTGTAGTTAATATGTAGCTGGTGGAGCTCAATAATGCACTGCAGGCGCCATCTTTGTTCCACCGATGATGTCAGAGCTCCAGTGATGATGTCACATAGGGCTGCACGAATATGGCCAAAATGATAATCACGATTATTTAACACAATTATTCATTGATTTTAGGGACAAAATATTTTTACTGCCATTTCAAATAAAAAATAAAAAAACAGTTTTCACATCCATGATGTGCTGCGTTTCTGCTGATGTACAAATCTAAGACTTAAAGTATCATCTCCTAGAAGTATAAATAACATGTTACCCGGAGAGTACACTGAGTCCGCTCACTGCTGCGCCGCAGTTTAGTCCCGTCCTCTGCATGTTAACTTCCACTTGAAGCGTCTCAGATGCATTTCAGGAGCTGAGCGCGTTGTTGGCTTGTTGTTATTTTGTCTTTTTTGTGCTTCTGCCTCTGGCTTCTACTCTGCTTACCAGCTACGGCTCTGTGCGACCCGGTTTTGGTGTGTCGTCTGCAGGCTGCATCTCCACACAGGGAGCATTTCAGATTCAGAGCGTTTTGCTCGATTTTGCCGACATGTTTAGATTTTGTTGATGTGGTGATCAGTGCTTGCTTTTTCTGCTTCTTCTATGATGAAGTAGGCTACGTAGATAAATGCTTCTTTTTGTCTGTTTTAACTGTGTTTTTTTATTGTTTTATGATTAGTAGTATGCACAGGGTGTTTTATTTTGAAAATTTACCGATTCTCTATGCCGTTTTGTCTGACTTCCTGCCCAGTTCGGTGTGCTCTGTGCAACTTGAAGTGACTTCCGTCAAACCAACACGTTCTTGCTCCCGACTCGTCACATATTGACGCGTGGTCAAGGCCCTTTGCCGTTGCTTTTTAATGCCCAGTTAGCAAAGCTTAGCAGCAACAAATATGCGACATCCCATTAGACTAGAAAACATTGCTAGAGTGGTGAAAACGTTGGAATTTATTCGGTTTAGGTAACAAAACCTGGTTAGGAACGGATCATGGTTTGGGTTAAAATAACTACATAAGTTAACTTATGTCACTTGCGGAACTTACTCAATTTACACAACTCGGTAACTTATAAAAAAATAATTAATGTTGACTTTACATTTCACACGGGACAAGAACCCCGGTCTCCTGGTTCAAAGTCGGGGTTCTGGCCCTCCATCCACCCCAACCACGTCCTTACTCAGTCTTTTCTGTTAGATATCATATACCTACCTTTACCGTCTAAAGCTGACGCCACAGGGCTTCCCCCCCACTGCACTGAACTATGACTCTACAGGGATCCCCAGTGCGGTACAAACTGACGCCGATGGGTCTTGACCATGCGCCCACATGTGACAAGTTGGGGAGTGAGAACGGCTTGGTCAAAAAAAGAGCTGCATATGACACACTTCTGGGACGGACTCACAAGCACTGACCAGAAGGGCCGCGACCAGCTCCGGCAGCCGCGCTGCAGCGGACTCATGGACTTTTTACTCTGGACTGTTGCAGCAAGGTGGGGCGAGCGCAGCCAAATTGGCCCCTTGATTTGATGTGCAGCAGAGTTTTCCATGAGCGGAGCACGCATTTTAAACGGCAATATCGCCGTCGATCATGTCCATTTAATTGTGGGAGGCTAAAATCGTAATCACGATGAATATTCGATTAATTGTGCAGCCGTAATGTGTTAATGTAATGATGTCAGAGTGTTGGTGTTTCAGGAGGTCGAGTCGACGTGCTCGGGACCTGTGGTGGGCGGGTTTACCACCCAGCGTCCGAGGACGAGTCTGGAGCCTCGCTATTGGCAACGAGCTCAACATCACTGCAGGCATGAACAACATGTTCTCTGTGTTTACTGATCTGATTCTATATTCAGTTGGTATCATTGAGGAACAAGTAATGTTTTCCTCCTTCCTCCTAACTCTCCTCCTCCTCTTCCTCAGAGCTGTATGAGATCTTCTTCTCCAGAGCGAAGGAGAAGTGGAGGAACCTCAGTGAGACAGAGACTGATGGTAAGAAACAACAAGCCGAAAGGTTCTGACAGATTGATTCTGGACGACTCACCTGGACTTGTTTACCTGCAGAAGGAGGGTCGCTGGCTGACAGTCTGGACCTCATCACTCGGGACATCTCCAGAACTTTCAGCTCGCTCTGCGTCTTCCAGAAGGTGGGACAGTGGAGAAAAATCATGACTCGTATAAGACGTCTGTTAAAATGGACAGACAGGAAGTGAATTCAAAGTTTTATTTTGTAGGGTGGTCCTTATCACAATCTGCTGCAAAGCATTCTGGGAGCTTACACCTGCTACAGACCTGATGTGGGATATGTGAGTTTCACACACACACACACACACACACAAAGACTTGGTCTGATGAACTTGAGACTCGACTCCTGTGACTTGACATTGAATCTCGAGTGACTTGAGACATGACATGTCCTCGTTTCAAGTAACTTGAGACTTGAAACTTGGACCCATATTTGTGACTTGAGGGTCAACTTGAATTTGTCTGGATGACTTGGGATCAACTTGAACCTGTCCCTGATAACTTGGACTTATCTTGAACTTGGACTGTTATTTAGCGATTAGAAACTTCAGACTTGTCTTGACTAACTAAAGGGTGGGTTCACAACAGCCTTGTTTAGTCCGGTTGAACCAAACCCTGGGGCGGTTACCCCCTTGGTGCGGTCCATTTGGGTTGGCCGGACTCGAACTCTAGTGCAGACCAAACAACTGATCTCTGGTCCGCCTCAAAGGAGTGGTCTCAGACCAAGTGAACTCTGGAGCGGACCCTTTCTGGTGTGAACACCATTTGAACAAATTGCAGAAGGCATTGTGATGTATAAGTCATTTCATTGGTTAAAACCTTTTTCTCTTCTTGATTTGGGGACTTTGCTGCCAAAATGTGAACTAGCCGGGGACAAACCTGGACTCAGAGTGAAGTGAGCTGCCTCCTGAACCTCTGGGAGGTGGAGAACATTTCTCAGTTACTAGAGAAGCTGCAGAAGAGCTCTGAGGTGTTCAAAGTATTCAGTGATAAGATGAAGGAGAATGGACTCGAGTGATCTGTTGAGTAGAACTGCGTCAACTGTATAAAGTACTGCAGTATGTACTCTTGAGTATTTGGAGGGGTTTGTTCTTTTTACCTGCAGACTGTATGACCAATAATCGAACGTCATTTCTACCTTGTGGCTTTTGCTTAGAGTTTCTGGACTCTCTGAGTTTTTGCCTTTGTGAACACAAACCGGACCAGCTGGAGAACTGGTGGAGGAACAAGGAATCATCCTCACATCGGTTCGATTCAGGAACCGGACCTTCAGGTGTTAACCTGCCCTAAGACTCGCCTTGGACTTATCTGAGAGACTTGTCTTAAGACCTAATTAGACTTGGGACTTTACTGTACTTGTCCAAAGTGACCTGAGTGACTTGGGACTCGGCTTGTTCTTGTCTTTAGGAACTAGAAACACGAATTTCAGTCATCTTGAGCAATTGGAGAGTTGACTTGATACTTGACTTGGACTCCTTGCAAATGACATAGACTTGTCCCTAAAGACTTTAAAACAGTTCAGCCCCCACCTCTCTCTCTCTCTCTGTGTCTCACTCTCTCTGGATGTCTCTCGCCCAGGTGCAGGGTATGTCCTCCACGGCAGCCATGTTGATCCTGAACATGGACGAGGTCGAAGCCTTCATCAGCTTCTCCAACCTGATCAACAGACCCTGTCAGCTGGCGTTTTACAGAGTGGACCACCAGCTGGTACACACACACGCACATTTGTTTTTCTGTACTTGTGGGGACCCTCATGGACTTGAGGTATTCCCTAATCCCTAATACTAACTGCTGAAAATGCTGAATCACAACGCTTACCTCTCTCTTTAAACCGTATTCTAACCTGAACCTTGAAAGCAAGTCTTTCTTGAAGTAGTTCGGACCAGTATGTCCTCACTAATAATGCTAACCGTCCCGGTTGGTCTCTCTGTCTGTAGATGCTCAGGTACTTCGGGGCCTTCAAGGTGTTTTTCGAGGAGACTCTTCCTCACCTATTCCTTCACTTCCAGTCTTCAGGTCTGACTCCTGAACTCTACCTCATGGACTGGTGAGTCAGACAATAAAGAAAGTCCAGCAGAGCCCATGGGGAAACGGCTAACCTAGCTTAGCAGAAAAACTTGAAGCAGGGGAAACAGCTAGCCTTGGCTAGACATCCTGTGATTTTACACCACAGCGTTCAGTCTGAATGACTTATAGGTCCATGTTGTGTTTAGCTTAGCACAAAGACTGGAGAGCTGTACTTGATTCAGACATAAAAACACGTCTGAATTAATGGTTTTAAGGTGTGTTACTGGGCTTTCTGCAGAGGTTAAGAGGTTCTAAGAGCTAAAAACACCTTAAACGGTACAAAGCACCAAACGCATGAGTTGTCCATTAATATATACTTTTTTGCAATAAAGCTGAAATTTCAGAGATGTGTCATGTAAAAAAATCAAGACTTGGGCCACATGAAAAATTCTGAACTTTTACCAACATTTTTATTCTCAGCAAAAATAGACACCAATAAGAGAACAAAAGTTTCATCGGACAGGGTCAGAGATCGATTCTGTTACCAGAACAGAGACACGAGTTGATTTTTAGTCTTTCCAGCCCTGAGTCAGATGAGCCCACCTTGAGTCCAGGTTCTGCTCCAGGATTTTACCTGTGAAAGTGTTACGAGGTGTGGTGTGTGGACAGAGAGGACCCAAATGCAGCACTCTGAGGGAAGGAGGTTTATTGGAGGAAAAATGGTGAGAGGGACTGGAGTGGAGGGAGAGGAGGACGTCGGGGAAGCACAGGCACGGGGAACCAAGGAGTCAGGGGACCAGGGAGCCGGGGAACACAGGGGCCGAGGAAGCGAGGAGAGGCGGGGGAACAGGGAGGACGCCGTGAGGGAAGTCCGAAGAGGAGTGGGCCAGTGGATGAGCCCAGCCGAACGGAGGACGAGGGTGAGCGTACCTGGGAGGGAAACAGACAGAGAGACAAGGTTAGGGAAGACAGCGTCAAGGCACAGGGTAAATGTGAAAAAAAACAAGAAACACGAAAGCCTGAACGTGGGGGTGGCACCGGGTACGGAGCAACGACGATCAAGTGAGGATGGTGTGGAGAACCGGGGTTGAAATACAGGCAGTCATGAGGTGATTACTGGCAGGTGTGGCAGGCTGACGAGGTGGCAGATGAGGTGCAGGTGCAGGTAGTTGGCTGGGCTCAGGTGCAGAGGGAGAGAGAGAGAGCACACAGGGGAGAAAACACAGGGAGGCAGGCAGGGAACAGGAAACCAAGGAAAACAGAAAAACTGATAAAAAGGAGAAAAAACCAGGACACTCACCGTCAGCCGGGCTGCCCCACAACAGAAAGGGAGTTTTTCTAGTTCTGCCACTGTGCTGCTCGTGGCTGCTCTATAACAAAAGTGCAGTGAGATAACTTCTGTTATGAATTAGAGCTGTTAAGAAAATTTGATTGAATTGAATCTTGATATGATGTCTGGTATGTTTGTGTTGCTGCGTATTAATTAGCGTTTAAGTGATCATCACAGATCTTGTTTCAGAAGCTAAGTGCTGCTAAAACCCCAGTTGTTTTACATTTCTTTGTCTTTTGAAGGAGCTAGGCTAGCAGTTTCCCCCCGCTTTCAGTGTTTGTGCTAAGCTAAGCTAAACAGGTCCTGGACCTGTCAGACCTGGACACCCATGATGAAACTGAAATATGTGAGACATGCCCCTCCCCTCCAGGATCCTGTCTCTACACCAAGCCCCCTCTGGACGTGGCGTGCAGAGTATGGGACGTTTTCTTTCGGGATGGGGAGGAGTCCTGTTCAGGACAGCTCTGGGGATCTTAAGACTCTACCGGATGTCCTTCTACACATGGACCTCATCAGCATAGGTGACGATCTCTGACCTCACTCACACAGTGACCAATCAGCTTGCTGCTTGACTTGGACTCATCTTGACTTTGACTTGGACTTGACACTCGATTTTCTCTCGAGTTCGCTCAGACTTGTGTCCACAAATGTGAGCCTTGACTTGTGCTTATCAGTGCAGGGACCAACGTGTTACTCACTTACAGTAATGTGCTCTTTATGCTGTAACGCATTACTAATAAAATGTCGGTAAAATTATACCCGTTAAAATCTCAGTAAAACTCGTTACAAAATGAAAGTGGTGTTTTGTTTTCTGGCTCTCGTCTTGAGGGACACGAGGCCTAACAAGGACTAGTCACAGAAGGCTTTTGAAGTTTTGAATTTGTGGTAGTAACTTGTAGTGTGAGACTTGACTCATCCTGGGTGACCTAAGACTCAACTGCGACTCGTTATAGGTGAGAGACTTGACTTGGACTCGTCTCAGATGACACTGGGACTCCCCCAGTGTGACTAATTGTTAAAAGCATAATCAGGATATCAGGTGTAGGACTGGGACGGATCCTCGGGAAACTGTTCTGTGTGCTCCTCCTCAGCTCAGTTCCTGTCCCGCCTCCCTGATGAAGAACTGCTCTCTGATAGGCTTTTCTCCTGCATCTCGGACACCCATGCAGTCGGGAACAGGAAGTGGAGTCAGGTGAGTCACCTGACAGATGGGCTGATAATCTGTGTGAAAAACAAAAAGCAGCTGCAGTGACTTTGTTTCTGTCTCAGGTGCTGTCTGAGCAGAGGAGCAGCAGCTGATCCTCCATCTGTTTTTATTTCTTTCATTTAAAATATGCTGGGTTTTACAGGTTAAGGCATTTCTGTCTGAGTGTGAATCAAACAGTACGCCCAGGTAGCTCACCTGGGGGAGCGTGCTTCAGGTATCATGGCTGAGCAGCTAAATGAATATTTGCAGACTAAGTAACTGCTCATTTTCTCTATAACACAGAATTTTCTCTGGGAAACTTTAAAGATTACCTGTAAAATAAAATTTCATTCTTTGGCTGATGTACAGTTTCAATAATGACATTTTAAAGTGTGTAACTTCTCTTCGTGTCTTCCTTCTTGTACCTTATTATTAAAGAAGAACTTAAAACAATAACTGTTCTGTTCAGATTGTTTTGGTGGAAATTTTGAACCACTCGTAATTTGAAAAGCTAGAATTTGGAACAAACAAGCCATCGTTTTCTGGGCTCAGAAACGTGCGGGACTGGCGGTGGAAAACTGGTTTGTGACTGGATCAGAATGGCGACTCAGGAAGCAGAGGAAGATGGTGAAATGGGCTTTGGCGACTGGACTCTAGTTGTTAACAGGATAGGAGAGGTAGGCTGGTTCTCGAGTCAAGGAAGGAAACGTAGTTTGGAAGACAAAACAGCTCGATGAAGCCGGGGGAAATGTGTGCCGAAAAGGGCTATGAGAGGAATTTAGAAAAAAGAGAGCATGTTGGTTTAAGTCTAGCGGTGTCTAGGGAATTAAAAAAGAAGCTA